TTGGCCATAAAAGGAAGAGGAAACGAGAAAGCAGTGATGGAATGCATGACCATGGCTCCAAAGAGCTGGAGCCAGAGACCATGCGCCAGTTGCAGAGCACGTGTTTTCCAGGCGCAACAAGGACCTTTGGTGGTACTGAAGAATTCTAAATGATGAGGTCAGGAGGAAATGGAGTATAGAAAGGACTGGGAGTCATAATCACATTAATAGCAGAGATAATTCAGCCATTGTTGTGGATATCACAAATCTCCTGACGTCTGAGTGTAATTTTCTCTTATTTCCCTTTCCTTTAAATGCAGCTATGGAGACAGTAAGCTACAGCAGAAAATCAACATGAGGAGCCAGGAGGGATGCCTTAACCTTTTCCCTGCCTGTTGTTTTTCTGCTAAAAACTATCTCTTTCCCTCCACTACCCCTTGAATGCTTGAATCACACATGTTGTCTCTGAAGAGGGAAAACCACCTCTGGGAAGGTGCTTTTTGTTGTGGTTCGGTGCCCTCAAGTCATCTCCAACTTACGGTGACCATATGAATGAAGGCCCTCCAAAATGTCTCGTCCTTGAGAATCCTGTTCAGCTCTTGCAAACTCCAGGCTGTGGCTTCATTATTTTTCCATTGCACTTATATCCCACTTTTTCCCCTTATGAGGAGTCCAAGGTGGCTTTCATAGCTCCATTGTATCCTCACAACAACAGTCCTGTGAGGCAGGTTGGATTGAGTAAGAGATGGACCCAAAGTCGCCCAGTGAGCTTCATGGCCAAGTGGGGACTAGAACCTGGATCTGCCGGGTCCCCAATGCAACACTCTAACCAGCACACCACACACCACACCGGTTTTATTGAATTGATCCATCCCACGCTCCAGCTTTCCTGAGCATTATTGTCCTTTCCAGTGAATGCTGCTTTCTCATGATGGATGATTTTTATTAGACAAAAACTCCTCTAACCTGGGGTGGGGGGTGGGGGAGCTTGAAGCCTCCAGTGGAAGACTGTCTCCAGAGCCTCCAGAGATGTTCTTTTGTAAAAACAAAAGAAACAATGCATTGAAAAACTAGACTGAATTCGGCATCAAGTGCAGTCTGAAGACTGATTTGAAGCAGCCTGAAAACCAGCAAATGCGGAATGGCTGCTCATGTTATGTAAACAAGTATACAAAAAAGGAAAATTTAAATAACACCCCACCTAGTGTCCTCCAGATATATAAAATTGAGGCTGCCACCATCCCCAGGTGATAATAGACATGGTTTAAATGTACAATTTTTGCATAGCATGCTAAGCATCCCTATGAATAAGCTACAAAGTATAGGTTGCTCATGGAACAACCCACAGTGCACCTAACAGAAATGAGGCTTACAGGTTGGGCTTAATGTCACAACAAACAACTCTGTCTGGATGTGCCTGGCAGGCAACTGGTTTCTATGCTAGGATGGTTTCCACCCTCCTTTCCCAGACCTCAGATCTTTATTATATTTCAGACTCCTGAGAATTGCACAACTATGACTGCAATATTTACTTATTTATTATTTATTTAGAAGGCTTCTATGCCGCCCCATTCGCCGAAGCCTCGGGGCGGCTCACAATAAATTTGGTCTTATTTGGTCTTGCACAAGTACTAACTTAACAATGTGCAGCCCTGTCGATTTCCTTGTCTGTTTCAGCTGTCAAAAGAAACTATGAAGTGCAGTAGGTGGCAAACATGAAAACTGGCAAGTATGTATATAGGCTAATTTGTGCACAGTTGCGGCACAGCAATTTCCTAGCTGTTAATTGATGAACACTGGAAGGGGGGGGGGAATAGGGAAAGAAGGGGCAGTAAAATTCGGGGTAAAGTAGCCATTAGCAATGCAATCCTCTTGATTTTAGGTATTAAACCGACACTTTTCAGTGCCCCTCACACCTTCTAAACACCTCTTATCTCTCTAGCTACTTTAGAAAGGGGAGCTATTGACTCCCCTCTTTTCATGGCTTCTTTTTGGAGCACATGTGCTGTGGCTAGTGTAGTTTCCTGACAGGTGCACCTCCTCTTGCCTCTTTTGCCATTTTACTGGAGTTGTGTGGATCTGGCCAGGGTGGCTTGTTGCCATTGGGAAAATATACTCAAATGCACCATAGGGTTTTTTTTTTTTTTTTAAAGAACTCTTTCATTTGACAGTGGTCCAAAGTTGATGATTGCAAAAAATGCCTAGAGATTCACATAAACATGGAAAGGCTGAAGGGAACTGAGAACAGTCAAGGTGATATTAAAAACTAGAAAACTGCACTGTGAAGGGGAGATCTGTTCACCTTTTAGGACAAACAAAAACCTTCCCCACTTTGCTTTTTGATGGACGGGTCACCAACTGACAGCTTCATGTTTGCTTCTAGGGAAAGCTCTGGTTTGATTTGATCTAGGACCCACTTGCTGGTCTTTCTGTTGGTCCAGGGTATTCACAAAGCTCTCCTCCAGTGCCATGTTTGAACACATCAGTTGTCTTTCTTCACTCTCCAGCTTTCACACTCATACATTGTGAGTGGGAATGGTGTGGAAGATCTTGACCTTGGAGTCCAGTAAAATGCTCTTATGCTTAATGATCTTTTCTAGGTCCCTCATTGCTGCCTTTCCAAGTCTCAGTCTTCTTTGAATTTCTTAGCTGCAGCCTCAGTCATTTTGAATTGATGACTGAGTCAAGGTATGTGAAATCTTTCACAATTTCAATTTCATTATTAACAACTTTTCCATTATTAAAATTCTGCAATTCTTCTGTGGACATTATCTTTATCTTCTTAATATTCAGCTTCAGTCCTGCTTTTTCATTTTCTTCACTTTTATCAGGTGTCATTTCAAGTCATTGCTGCTTTCTGCCCATCATATGGTATGATCTGCATATATTAAATTAGTAAGTTTGTTTTGCCAATTTTCACTCCTTCCTCTATTCCAGCTTTCCTTGTTATATGTTCTCCATTCAGATAGGGAGATAAAATACATCCTTGTCTGACACCTTTGCCTATGGGAAACCATTCTGTTTCTCCATATTCTAACTGTAGTTTCTTGTCTGTGATACAGGATAGGCATCAGGCAATCAGGTGCTGAGGCGCTCCCTTTTCTTTTAGGACCATCCATAGCTTCCCTTCATCCACACAGTCATAGGCTTTGCTGTACTCTATACAGCATAGACTGTAATTCTTCTAAAATTCTTTGGAATTTTGCCAATATATATTTGCCAATGACTTTCTTTTTGGGCCTCGGCCTTTTCTCATTCCATATAGGGTAGTATTCTTTGTTGCAACACTTTGAGCATCACTTTGCTTGCATGGGAGATTAACGCGATGGTTCTATGGTTGCTGTACTCTTTTGCCTCTCCTTTCTTGGGGATTGGAATATATATTGAATGTTTCCAGTCTGTGAGCCATTGTTTTGTTTTCCATATCTGTTGACATATTTTTGTTAGGATTTAGGCTGATTGGAATAGTTTTCTGCAGCTTGGAATAGTTCTATTGGTATCCTATCTACCAATAGAAGCTTCTCCACCTTTTGCTTCCAATCACATAATCTATTTGATTCCTCTGATGGCCATCCGCTAAAGTCCACGTATAATTGAGAATTAGGATAGAAATAATGCTTTATTCAATTACGGTCTGCAGGTGGCTCCACAATACTTACTTTTCTCAAAAACAGGTAAGATTTTTAGTATGCTTCTTAGTATAACCCCAGCCAGATGCAATACATCATAGTACACAGGAAAAGAGCACATCTGTCCCTCTGACACTCTTTTATCCATCTCATGCTTCCTCCTCAAGGTCTGCTCATTTGCCACTTTTTGGTCTTGCTCGTGAGAATTTCCATGAAGAGATCTCCAGGCAAATGAAAGCTATTGCTCTCTTGTGGCCTTATTTCAAGTTAGGGAATTGCCTCCAGGCCTCTCATAACAGTTCAGAGAGTCACTTCACAGAGATCATTATAGGCAGAATCAAAGCATGTGCAGATCTAATCTCAACCTTCATATCTGTCTGGAAGCCCTTCAGAGTTCAACTCACTATTCGCTTACTTCATACTCTCTTGCGTTATATTAGTGGAGACCACAGAATTCCCACAAGAGTGTACCATTATGACGCTACACACATAACTGAGACACATCTGCCCCGATCCAGCAATGCACAGAAACTGCCACAGGGGATGCAGTGGCACACATGCATCTTGATGCTCACCTGAGCCCTCCTGACCCAGGTCTGTGATGCAATCTGCATCCCTTCTAAGGCCATTCACTGTTCCTCCTGACTACTCACTAGTGATTAAGCTAGACCTGGAGTAAGTGTATGTACTTAGCTTGAATGCCAGTAGTTTACTGCATACTTTATTTTTAAAAGATTTTATGGTACACTTCAGGATTGTTCAGAATCTGGTGAAAAAGTTAGTAATTTTTTATTGAAGAGTTTGTACTGGCCACTGTTACAGTTTATGATAGCGGAATGCATAGATAATTACAGAGATGGTAGTTAAATTTGTTTCCTTGTTCCATCTCTTTAGTTTTTAGTTTTTTTGGCCCATCCCTGCAAGGGGCCTCAGGAAGCAATAAGCATCTTCCAATGGTTATTCATTTTTTTAAATGCTACTAAAATTGTTATATGAATATACTATTACAACATCACCAGGAGATATTTGTACTCTTCTTTGGAAGTGCTATTAGTTGTGGGGCAACCACCAATAATACCTCTTTAAATAAACTTCCTGCATGAACTGGAAATGTACACACAAAACTCAAAAAGGAATCTCCAGTGAATGCTGAAGAGTATTATAAAGCATCAAAGAGGTAATGCATCCATTTCAGGCCATGTTTGCCATCTCACCAAATACACAATAGCCTCAGTATTACTTTAAAAGATAATCTGTGCAATGGATAAACAGTTAATAACAGTGCTTTCCAAAGAGGAAAAAGGCTGAAACACACATTGATGTAGCAAGAAATAAAACTTTAATAAACTATACAAAGAAGTTAATTTGTACTTTCCTTCTTGCATGGTGAAGTTCACTGTTCCATATTCAGAGTCCAGTTCTATATTTAGAGTCCAGCAAGGTTAGCAGAAGATGTGCAAAACTTTACGGAAGTAGTTTCTAAACTCGGTGTTGAAGACAGTGTAGATAATAGGGTTGAGGGCGCTGTTGACATAGCCCAGCCATGTGACGATGCTGGTGACTTCACTGGGAATGGAGCAGGAGTCACACAGTGCTCTGGTTATGTGTACCACAAAGAAAGGAGTCCAGCAGAAAAGGAAAGCACCTGCAAGAGAGAGGAAAAAGCAACAACCCTGAGTTCTGGCAGCTACATGCTTCCTATGAAACCAGGAGTTAATGACTGAATTCTCTGTGCCTCTTTTCTTACAAACAGAAAAGCTTCAGGCTGTAGAGAAGCCAGACTGAGGCATCTAGAAAGGCTTGGTGACTTGGAGCACGTGAAGCTGCAGCTACTCATTTACTGCCTGAGTTCTTCTCCCTTAACCCTGTTAACCCTGTAATATGGCCCTCTCCTGTTCCATACTTCCTACTTCTAGTGTCTGATTTAAATATGATGCTGGGGGAGTAAAGCAACAAGCAATTCCTTTCTATGCTGGAGTGTTGAATGAACCTCAGTTTGGACAGTTATGTGAGGATCCTGGCTTGTATTAAGCCAGAGATCCCTGTTACAGCTAAACCTGGAATCTAGGCTTAATGTAAGTTAACAAACCTTGCTTATTTTCTTGGGGTGTTATTTGACATCAATCCAGCATTGCCCAGTTAATAGGTAATGCTGGCTTGAAATAGGCCAAATATTTATGTTGCTGCTTGGGCAGTGCAGGCTCAGGGGAAGGAAGCCTGGTAGCTACACTTGCTCATCACCTCCTAAGCCGTGGTTTATGAAGACTTGTGTGGCTGTGAACTGAGTCTGTATTGTAGATGCAGGACTCAGTGACTGACTCAGAGAGATGGAGATTGCCATGGAATGCAGATTCAGTGACTGAGTTGGCATGACATGACAACCCATTGCTGGTTGCTCTCCATGGTGGGCATGTCAGAAGAACCTGAACCAATTGCCATACGGTGGGACAACTCACGGGTTGTTTTAGGGGTTGCTGTACCCATGATAGGTTGTCATCTGAAACCAGGCAACCTCAGATCATGGATACTAAGGACCAGCCTGGCAAGAGCGGCCACATCCCCTTGCTGCTGTTGCCAATCATGTCCAGCACCTGAGAGTGCCACCTGCCCCAATTGGCACTTGAGGACAGTGGGCAGTAGCTCCCCACCCCCCACACACACCATCATGGTTTGGGTTCACTGTGGCTATTTCCTACTTTAAGCTGTTTTTACCCTGAGATTCTCAATGCCAGCTGTTAAGGAGCCTGTTGTGGTCCTACTTTTGACAGCTATAGACAGCTCCTCTGCTTTTACAGTTGGATGAAAACCCTTCTGTCATGAGAAAGATGCAAACTGTCAAAGTCACCCTTCTACTGCTAATATCCAGGGCAGTAAGGTCCTGTCTGGCACTCAGTTTGTATGCTCCCACTCTGAGAGATTTGCGAGAGAGGGGAGGATTTGGTCTCAGTTTTAAGCAAAGCCTCAGAAAACCTGTGGGTTCAGTTCTACAGTTAACAGAAAAACCTCCAAAGGAAGTAATTGCAAAGGAGCAGGGAGAGGAAGAAGCCCTTAAAGCCATTAGTTGCTAAAAAGAAAGAGCTCATGGTTCCAGGGGTCCTTCATATATGCAATTAGTCTGCCCTGGAGAAAGCTGGTCACAGAACAACACACTCTTTGTATAAAACCTCTGTATAAAATCAAAGTGGTCTGGCTCTCTCACATAATTTCCAATATTTTTGTCAATTATCCATCCCTCTCCAGCACTCTTGCTCACCTTTCTGGTGACATTTCATCTGAAATTTCTGGAAGTGCTACTGATACTCATCGAAAGCATATGTTTGCATTAAAATAAGGGTAAGGGAACAGACTCCTGGATCAGGAAGGCTGTTGGCTGGAATCACCTTGGTGGGCCACACCTTACAGCAAGCTCTTTCACATGCACCAGCAGGCAACCATAGAAGTTTGGTCCAGGCACAGTGAAGTGCAACCCACGTTTCCTGCATGGATCAGATGCCACATGGATGGACAGGGTGGATTTGATTTACGCATAGGTAGAGGAACTTCATTAAAATATTCCCAAACTGGGTCTCTTTTATGACCTGCTGCCATTACAGGTTTTCTCCTCCAGGGAAAGAATGAACCTCAAACTATACACAAAAGATCCAAAGACCTGTGGAGTATTCTACTCTAAAGGTTTCCCTTTCATTTTTACTGCTTGTCCCTCCCTCCTCACACTTAGCATCTTGTGCAGACCTATTCTACTCCCAACAATCTTCTTCTATTAATTTTTTGAAACTTAGCACTTAAGAGCCAAGGCGTTGATTCTGTGTACATAGTTTTGCAAAGGAACAGTGGGATTAAAGTCCTTTTCTCATCTCTGTATGTCTGTTTTATACCATTTTTGCTGTGAAGAAGAAGCATGTTGTCTCTGGACACACAAATTCACAGTTCTGAGAACTGTAAATCAAAGCATCTGAGATCAAATCTAGAGAGAAAGATTGTCCAATAATCTTACAGAAACCTCTGGAAGAGCATGACATTGTGAAAGGATTACTGGAATTCATTTACCAAAAAATGTAAATATTGCATGAATATACAGCCTCATGCTACATATTTAAAAATTAATCCTTATTTCATGATGAATAACATTTAGACTATAATGTATATCAAGTAGGAAACAATCTTTAGATAGATTTTTTTCTCAAAAAAGCATTTTATTTTTAAAAATCCAATTTAAATTAAAAAATCCCATTTAAATTTTAAAAATCCAATTTTTAATTAAAAAATCATTGATTTTTATCCTCCCGGAAGATGGAGTTTCAAGAGGCCCCCACCACATTTTGCTTCTTACAAAACATGGTGAATGCCTTGTGAGAAGCATCCCTGAAGCCAATGCCAACAGTGTTGTATAAAACAGGAGTAATACTATCTATTAGGGTGGTTGTAGTAGTAGTAACAGACTGGACATTAAAAAGATGGTAGAACCGTTTTTCAAGCTGCCCCCCAGAAAAAGATGGAATTTGTGCCTTTGGTATGAGTTAGATATCTGGGTAAATTTGTTAGAAGTCATCCATTGGGAAATCACTGATTTCAAGCAATCTTATCTCAAACTCCTTTCAATGAGATGCAGGCTTAGACTGAAGGGCACTCCCAGACTGACTACAAACAGCCCACCTCTGGTCACTACTGGTTTTATTTTTATTTATCATATTACATCCCACCTATTTTCTTGCAAGGAACCCAAGACATCCTGTCGAATCTTCTTCCACCCGTCCAGATTATTCTCAGAATAGTCCTGTGAAGTAGGCTGGACTGAGAGACAGTGACTGGTCTAAAGTCACCCAGTGAGCTTCACAGCCAAGTAAGGGTAGAGCTCTGATCTTCTGAGTCCAGTATTCTAACCACTGTGCCATGCTGGGTGTCTTCTGCTATTACAGGAACAATGCTTACGACATTGTTAGCACTTTGGGAAATTAGCATCATATCACCCAACACAAAGGATGGCTTGTTTATTCCAAGGTGGAATAGTTTCATCATATTTGTACATTTTTAAACTGCCTAGTAGTAAAACTATTCTGATCAAAATCCCAAAAATACAAAGTAATGATGCATTATGAAACCAGTGTACAAAGATACAGCAAATTCAAACCATCAACGTTAAGTCCCAAGAACAATTAAAAAACATATATGCTGTCAAATGTCTGGGAGTGGAGGAAAATCTTAATCTGGCACAGAAAAGACAACAGAGCTGGAAGGAGCATTGCCATCTATTTCTTACAATGCATTTTACCCTCTTATGGTTCCTCACTTTGTACCAGCACCAATAGTCTGATATAGCCTGACTCTAAACATCGTTCTTCACCTGCATAAATGAACAGAATTTGGTATTCCGTGCACACCACAGAAAGCTGGAATCTGCTGTACATAAGATATTACAGCACACAATCTGCTTCTTGTCAAATTAACTTGCAGCTCCTTATGCTACCCTTTTATTTATTAAATAGAAGGTCTAAAGCTCAGCTCACCCATATTCTTTTGTCTTTTGTCAACTGGCAGCAGATAACAAGCACAGCCTGTTTCTCTGCTTCTCAACACAGTGGGGAAACTCTCTGTGACTTGAATGAAGAAAGCGTTCCCAACAGCCATTCACAGAAAAATCAGAATAGCAAATCTGTTTGGAAGCAGCATGTTAAAATATGTGCAGATCTTGATTCTTCTCTTTTATCAGGGATTAGTGCTCTAAAACCCAAAGGATGGATCCCAAAGGAGTCTAAATCATGCATGAAATTAAGCATGTTTACTGGAATTTCTGAGATAGCTATGCACTGAAAGATTTGTGCTACGTTTCACTCAAAATATCCTCATGGCATCTATAAGTTCTTAGCCACTGCTTAATTAAGTAGATGAAGACAGGAGTTCCAACATGGTATCTGGCAGAGTTGGAGGGTGAGGAAATACGCTGGTTCAGACAGCAGGCATAAGACCAGCGCTGGAAGGAGTCACACTCCCCTTGCCAGGGCCACAGGTGGCACTGATCGACAGCAATGCCTTTTATCTGCCTTGGTGCATTCATCCCCTGCCGACCTTGCTGCAGCCAATGGCACATCTAGGCTACAAAACTGCATTGCGCTCTACCGGGGCTGCCTCTGAAGATGGTTCAGAAGCTCCAGCTGGTGCAGAAAGTAACCATTCAGTTGATTGCAGGGAGTCGCTGATCCATGCATGCAACACTGGCACTAGCTGCACTGGCTGTTTGTGTACTTCTGCACCCAACTTAGAGGGCTGGTGTTTAACTTAAAAGCCCTGGATAGCTTGGGACCAGGTTATCTGAAGGACTGTCTGCATATGTAGAAATCTGCCAAGACCCTAAGATTTGCCACAGAGGCTCTGCTCAAGCGCCTGTCTTTACAGTCGATTTGATTAACGGGTTCAAGTGATAGGGTAATTTCTGTGATAGTCTCATCCTTCTGGATTGCCCTGCTGCTGGAGTAACACCTGGATCCCTCTGTTTTTATACAGGACTTAAAGACCTGGATGTTTCAGTCTGCTGTTAACTGATGCTGGTCTACATGTTATAGTTTTAACTAAAACCAAGATTTTAATTTTGGTCTATATTGAAATGGAATGTTTACGCCGCTTGGAATGGAATATTTATTTATTTATTTATTTATGGATTTATATCCTGCCCTTTTCCTACAAAAGGCTCAAGGCAGCTTACATCATTCTCCTCCTCCATCTTATCCCCACAACATCAACCCTGTGAGGTAGGTTGGGCTGAGTGTCTGTGACTGGCCCAAAGTCACCCAGTTGGCTCCATGGCTCAGCGGGGACTAGAACCCAGAACTTGTCCCAGTCCCACGCTCCTAACCACTACACCACACTGGCTCTCGAAAATGTTTATGTTCGTGGCCTTCTTGGCACTTGTTCTCAGTGGGTTCTTCTGCTTGGCTGCATGATTCAAACCAATCAACATTCATGTCGTAAGTGTGACATCACACATGGCCAATCAGATTTGACTAAGTGATAATGTCACAAAGCCAAATCAGAGAGAGAATAAAGCTTCCTGCTTGCCTTCTGAGTGGGAAAACAGTTTTGCTCCATTTCACAGGCTCCCAAATTATTCCCAACATGGCAAAGAGACTCTGCAGGGCATTTTTTCCAGTAAATGGAATCTCACCCTTTTTTTTGTTCTAATCAAAGTCAGAAAGATTTTTTTTGTGGCTGATGTGGGGGGGGGCACACGACTCAGGCTACTAAAATTAGAGAATTCTCCAGAGTCAGAGTGCGTCAGTTACACAACGAGGGATGCAAGAGCATGGAGACCAGGTCTCTTCAAGCCTCATACTAAAAATGGTGAAAACTGCTAACAACATTGCAGGTTAAGGGACAATGAAGCACCAAACAATTAAGGCGATTGTCCCAAATAAGTTTAGTTGAGGAAAAAGGCCTTTAATTCCCAGAATGCCCCAGTTTGGGAGCATTTTTCAACTAAACACACATCCTTAAGAATATGTAGTTCAGATCGTCAATTGAGATTCAGTCTTGAGTGACAGAAGTAAGAGAAAAAAGAAAGTATGTGTTGAATGCATTCTTTTACTGTTATGTCACCTTGCAGCCCACACACATCTGGGACTAGAGGTATGAGCTTTTAGGGCACCAGATATGATTACCGGGTAGGTCTGACCTCTCCATTTAGTAACAGGGCTGAATATAAAAGCAAAGAACTGAGTCACTCTCAGTCATGTTGAAGGCTTAAATGGATCATATATAACATCTGTTTCCAAAACATCCGAGGTAACTACTTTGGAGTCATGAGTCCCTTTGTTCATCTCAGGGAAAGTGGTCAACTACCAAGAAACAGAAAAATGGGATTGCCACCAGCACTGTAGCAGAGCTTCTGCCACGTTTTTCAGCCTGGAGATGTGGCATCAGAAGGGGCTTGCCCGTTTGATTTCTGCCCGCCATGCAGTTGTAAGAGGTACAGAGCCTTTCTCAGGAACCAAGTTAGCAGCCAGAAGCCAAAATATGCAGAAGTGAAGGAAGACCCAGTCAGCCAGGGCTTCTCAAATAAGCAACACAATATCCCAGCCTTAACTACCCAGTTATCAGGCCTCTAAGGTTAAAAGACACAACATGAGGAAACAACAAAAGGCAGACAGTGCTGCCAGGTGCTTTTTAAGAGTGCCAAACACTACAGTCCCACTTGTTTGAATACTCAGATCCTAAAAGCTTTCTGAATCTTTCCCAAACTGATGTGTTGATTCTCAAGCCTGTTAGCAACCATGATGTTGTACACTTACCAACCACAACAGGAAGCACCTTCATAGCCTTTCTTTCCCTGCCATTGATTTTAGCATGTTTCCTTTGGAGTCCTCCATGTGCTGGATATCTGAGGTGTGGGTAGGACACCGTCTGAATGCCATTGTTCATGTATTCCCTGGGAAATGAGCAGTCGGAGTGGGCATACAGACTGTGTTCCTCCAGCTTGTTCTCCGCCAGGTTCCTCTCAATGACGGGGGGTGGACAGTACAGCCGCCTGTTGCCCAAGTAGATGCTGCTCTTGAGCTTGGCCTTCCGGGCCTCCTCCCAACGCCGAAGTCCCTGGAACATGGCACAATACAGAACCAGCATGACGGGGCAAGGGATGAAGAAGGAGCAGATGGAAGAATACACAATATAGTTGTTATCCTCCAGCTGACACAAAGTGGGGTCCCGGTGTGGAACGTTGTTGAGGCCGAAGATGACTGGGGAGGCCACAGCGAAAGCAAAGATCCAGGTGGTGGAGATGAGGATCATCTGCCGGAGGTCAATTTGCCGCCGGTTGTAGTTCAGTGGAATGGAGACGGCAATGAACCTGGATAACAGAGAACAGGGTGAAGCTGTGGGCTTCTCATAGGAACATATTCAGCGGCTGATGCTGGCCCAGAAGCAAGCCTCAGACTCTTACGAAAACCAGCATCAGCAGGTGAATGAGCCATCACAGGTGACGCCCTGCAGAGCTTGCGCTGCCCACCAGCAGTCTATATATTCTAGCTCAAAGTGTATCCCATGCCATGGGATTGTGTGCATGTGTGCATGTGCGTGCCTGCAAAGAGCTTGAGAGGATTCACACAAGTCAATCTGGTTCTGTGCTACAATGGCAGATAGTGCACATCTGAAAGGTGGGGGGGGGGGAATGACCATCCTGAGGCCTTGGTAGTGGACAGTATATACAGGTTTTGAATGAATGAATGAATGAATGAATGAATGAATGAATGAATGAATGTGTCCCCCTACTCCAAATTATAGTCATCAGTCAGGGAGAGTCCACACAAACACCATCTTTCTTCTGAGAACAGGTCACATCTTAGTGATGGAGCACTTGATCTGCATCTAGAAGGTCCTAGATTCAACACCTGGCACCTGGACCTCCAGGTAGGGCAAGAAAAGCTAGCGAGCCATCAGCAACAATACTTGGCTAAATGGGCCAAGGTTCTGGCTCAATATAAGCCAGTCTCCAGTGCCCTTGCCCCCCATCCCATGGCTTCACCTCTTTCCATCCTTTTATCCCAGCTGAAGAGACAAGGTGCCGTAATATGTAGCACATGGGACGGGGACCTGAGAGATCCTGTTTCCGCTCAATCAGAAGTTCCATGAGTGACTTTGGAGCCAGTCATGTACACACAACCTAATCTACTTACAGGGTTGTTGTGAGAATGAATGGAAAGGAAGAGGATTGTGTAAGCCACCTTGTGTTCCTTGCAAAAGAAAAAGTGTTGGAAAATGTGTATGCTAATAGAAAACATAAAAGGGCACATCTGTGCCTTTGACCTTCATTTGTCCAGCTCCCTTTTGCTTGATCCTGGAAACAAGTCCAGCAATTCTTCCTTGCGGTTTCATGTGCTTGGCAGTGTCTCCCAGGACACCTCCATGAAGCCACCTCAATTCCTTTCTTCACATCTTTGCTCTGAAACCCACTTTTTCATGAACATTTTTATACTGCCTCCTAGTCCCTGTAATGCATTACAGCTAAGCCTACTTGCTATCCCTGCCTCTTTTTCCTCAGTTGCCTTTCTTGCATCATTCAGCTGCCAGGAATTAAATGCACAATGACCAATCAAAGAGATATTAAATGATGCAGATGCACATCTGTGAAAAACCACCACAACCAGTGAATGGGGCAACATAGCTTTAATAGACTCCATGGCTACATATGTCCCTGTTCAAAACAAAAATAATGCCCTGTATAACCCTGTGAAAGCCAGTTTTAAATGAAAAACACAGCTTTGGAAGTCATTGAAAATAACTGTTCTTTTAAACGGGGTGGACTGCATCTAGAGTCTCGGCGGGGAGGGGGGGGCGTGGATGACCTTCTCACCACCCTCCTTCACAAGCAAGTGTCTTCTAGCAGCTTGCCATCTGACAGCTATCCAGTAAAAGCAAAGTAATTTCTCTGAAGCCTGGCTTTGTCAATGCCCATGGATGTTGCTGACTTTGACAGCAGGCGTTTTAAAAGGACACTGACTGAGCAAGAATTTAGAAACATAGAAACAGAGCGAGTCAGAAGGGGCCTCCCGGGCCATCTAGTCTGACCTCCGGCACCAGCCGGCTCCGCTCACGACATGCCCACCATGTGCATGTCCAGCCTATCCTTGAACACCCACACCAATGGGGCCTCAACGACCTCCCATGGAAGCCCATTCCACACCCTCAGGGTCCTGACTGTCAGGAAGTGCTTCCTGGCATCCAAATGGAACCTTGGCTCCCTGCGCTTTGGAGCGTGTCCTGCCTTCCTCTGCAGGGGAGAACAGGTCTCTACCCACCTCCATGTGACATCCCCTCACATACCTGTATGTCGCCAACATATCCCCTCTAAGTCTCCTCTTCTCCAGACTGAAGAGACCCAGTTCCCTCAGTCTCGCCTCATCCGGCATCCCCTGCAAACCGGCCACCAACCTTGTGGCCCTACGCTGCACTGACTCCAACCTGGCTATATCCTTTCTGTAATGAGGGGCCCAAAACTGAACACAATACTCCAATTGCGGGCGCACCAGAGTCATGTAGAGTGGTAGTAATACCTCTCTTGATCTAGAAGCCACACTTCTGGCTATGCAACCAAGAGTGGCGTTCGCCCTCTTGACCACCGCATCACACTGCTGACTCATGTTTAGCCTGCAGTCAACCAGTACCCCGAGGTCCCTTTCACAAGTGCTGCTCTCCAGCCACTTGTCACCTAACCTGTACTTATGACAGCTATTCCTATGCCCCAAGTGCAAGACCTTGCACTTATCCACATTGAATGCCATCCTGTTGTCTCCTGCCCACTTCCATAGTCTGTTCAGATCCTTTTGGATCTGCTCCGCAGTTGTGACCACTGCTCCAGTTTTAGTGTCGTCTGCGAATTTGATCAGCAGACTGTTCACCCCTTCTTCCATGTTGTTAATGAAAAGATTAAACAGAATCGGCCCCAGGACAGAGCCCTGGGGGACCACGCTTGTTACTGGCCGCCATCCCGATGATTCCCTGCTAATGGTTACCTTCTGCTTTTGGTCAGTCAACCATGCCCTAATCCACCGGACAGTGCTTTGGTGTATCCCAAAACTCCTCAGTTTCTCCACCAGGATATCATGGGGCACTTTGTCAAAGGCCTTGCTGAAATCCAGGTACACCACATCCACTGCATCCCCTCCATCTAGCCATCTCGAAACCTTGTCATAGAATTCCACAAGGTTTGTCTGACAGGACCTGTTTTTGCGGAAGCTGTGTTGTGTGGCTGTCAGCCTCCCTTCCCTATCTAGCATCACTAGATCTCTTGCTATTATGAGCCTTTCCATTGTTTTTCCTGCAATGGACGTAAGGCTAACCAGTCTATAATTCCCCATGTCCCTTCTACTACCCTTTTTGAAAATTGGGACCACTGATGCCACCCTCCAGTCCTCTGGAACTTCACCCGTTCTCCATGTGGTCTCAAAAATGGAGGCCAGTGGGTGTGAGAGAACCCCTGCCAACTCTCTCACTCGGGTGTAACCCGTCATGGCCTGGCGCCTTTGTAATGTCCAATGCCCTGAGGAGCCCCTTGACTTCAAGGGGGGTGACGCTAATCTGTGCCCCTAAGTCCCCTCATCTAATCTCCTATGTGGATATCCCCTGTCCTGCTTTGGGGAGAACACAGAGGCAAAATAGTCATTTAGCATCTGTGCCTGTTCCCTCATATCAATCACTGGATCTCCTTCCTCCTTATTTATTGGTCCCACCACTTGTCTCCCCTTCCTCTTCCTATTTACATGCTGAAAGAAGCCCTTTTTGTTGCTCTTGATATTCTTGGCAAGTCTCAGCTCGTAATCATCCTTTGCATATCAGGTAGTCAGACTGCGCTTGTGCAGCTCAGAACTACCAACAACTCCCTCTCCCCAAATGAATGAAAACATCTGTGCATATTTCTGGTGAAAAAAAAGGTGCTGAACCAGTTGTGTCTCTTCCAACATACCGTGAAAAGCCATCTCCAAGAACAAAGCAAAACAAAACCAAAAAAATTAAAAAGGAGGGAACTCTGCAAAAGGGGTCACAGCTGGAGCAGGGGAGAGAGAGCCAGTGACAGTCACGCCAAAGTGCCATGAGGACCCCTGGTCCCGGAGCTGTCACTGCTGGTGCTCCAGGCAAGCTCAGGAAGAAGACAGGGCTTTTCGCTGCTCTGATGAAATGGCTCTTTTGCTGTTTTCCACAACGGGGTTGGTTGCTGGGTTCAGATGACAACAACCCACTGTGGGTTCGACAATCCCCAAAACAAACCATAGGCTGAGTGGCTCGTTGGGAAAAACAAGCCATCCTGTGGGTTTGCCCAACACAACATTCCACTTTGGCTTGTTACCCACAAGCTTGGAATCAGCTTAGAATCAGCAACACCACCCTCATGGCAAGGGCTGAGGTGGAAGAGGGGGAACCCTGGATTCTGACTCAGCGATGAGAAGGATGATTATGCACTTATATCCCACCCTTTTTCCGCTTATGAGCAGAAAGGAGCTCCTGGGGCTCCATGTTATCCTGACAACAACATGCCTGTGAGGGAGGCTGGTCTGAGAGTCTGACTGGCCCAAAGTTACCCAGTGATCTTTATGGCTGAGCGGAGAGGAGAATCCGGATCTCCCAGGCCCCCAGTCCAGCACTCTCACCACACCACCACAGTGGCTCTCAGCAAGCTAATTCTGGACATAAAATATGTATCTATTTACTCTCTCCATGCTCCTCTGCTTCCATTCTGAATCAGTGCTCTTTCTTTTTGCTATCTGATAGCCTTTCACTATCATTACTTTTCTGAATCATTGTTGATTTCACTCTCTTTGCTGAGCCTATCAAAATCACTGTGTCTTTTACTTACAGCTGAATGGCTTTGCTGTAGCCAAATACAGCTGCAATCCAAAACACTGGTTTGAAACACTGGGAGCTTTTTTTCCAGGGCATGAAGTAAACTCTCTGCTACTGAGAGCCAATGTTCCTATCACTTATCTTCTGCAGAGATTGACTGCTGTGTACCAAAAAAGACCATATATAAAATAATAGAAAACAACTGCACATATAATGTGCTGGAAGACACATGCAACACAGTATTCTTTTATTATTTACGCATCCCTTTTCTACATTATTTTTTAGCTGTGCCTCACTGTGCAAAGCCTTGGCAATCCTCATCTTACTTAGTCTTCCAACAGTTCTCTAAGTTAGGTTAAGGCAAGCGTTAAGGCACTCATGACGACCCAACGACTCCCTCTTCGTTGCTGGGTGCTTCACCCTGTCCTCACCCTCATGGTTCCTGTCCCTACAGGCTCCACCACCAACCTTTACATGTTGAGCAGGCGTTCTGAAAGGGGAGTAAAGCACAGCCAGCTCATCATGCTTACTGACTTTCCAAGCAATTGGGAAACCTGTCTGTGCAGAATTCCCAGCAGCCCAAAAGAGCTGGATGTGTGTGGATACCCCCCGGACCTCCCACTTGGCATGTGAAGGTTGGGGAATGGAACTGACAGGAAAGTCTGAGACCAGTATGAAGGACCCTTTCCTCCTTCATGTATCCTTAAAAAAAGCAAAGAAAACAAGCATGTTGTTTTAGAAATGCATGGTGACAGTGATATACCAAAAGCATCAACATCATTAACACAGGGAGGAATAACTTCTCCAAAGGGGCTCCACAGTGAATATGGCTTTAAGCACAGCTCTGTCAGCTTTCTTGTCCACTGTGCTACACTGGCCCACAAATATGAATCAGTGCATACCAAGCCAATTATAAGAATCAGCCCTGAACCGAGATGCCAGAGCTTCAAACGCAGGTTTGATGAAAAGGCAGACAGGTGGACGGGGAAGAGAAGCAGATATTCCCACATCAGTGGAGACTCTTCAAAGCATTATGGACAGGCACCTTGACACCTGGTCTGCAGCAGGTGTGCAGGATGCCCAGCCTTGGCTTTAATTGGGCTGCTGAGCTCCACAATCCAGCCTGCAGGGTTTCACCACCATTGATCTCTGACCAGCTGTGTCACTTTGCAAGGAACGTGGCACTCCCACTGGGGTGCTGCCCAATTTCCTTCCTTAGTGCCTTTCCCAGCTCAGAGAAAAGCAAACATGGGCAGGGCTGAGAAGGGCTCAAAGACATCAATGAAGTCACCCAGCCGGAGCAGGGCAACCTGTCCCCTCACCAAAAGCCCGTTCTGGTGTACAACTAATTAACTTGGTTTAAACTCTCCCTTCTGCCTTTATCTGTTAATTGGTTGTCAGATTCTTGACACAGCTTTAAAAGAAAGTTGCAGTCTTTAGGACAATGGCGTATGGGGGTAGTATTCCTTTAGCACTTGCTACTAAGACATGCCTCACCTCCCTCTCCCCTTCCTGATCAATCTGTTGTCACTTTGCAGGCTGCAAAACTCCTGCCTGACACAACAGGCCTTTGAAGGACAAGAGCGTGTGGTCCTCACTTGGGCAGGAGATGGGCACCGAGGAACTCTCTCTTCTTCCCCCTACTTTAAGGACTCCAGGAATGAACAGGTGCTGGCGGACTAGAATCCAAGAAAGCTGTGAACTCCCAACAGCTGAAAGCCGAGATGGGCAGAGGTGCTTACCGATCCACACTGATGGCGCAGAGGTTGAAAATGGAGGCCGTGCACAGCATCACATCCATAGTCATCAAGGCATCGCACAGGACTGTGCTCAAGGACCACACTCCTCCCTGGAACTGAAGACACAAATAGCACGTCAGGCTGTGTTTTGTCAGCCCCAGCCACTGCTTTGACGCCTCTCCTCATCCCTGCTTTTTGACACCACTCTTGAGGCAGCTTCTTTGGCTTCTGCTGTTTTTCTTCCAGAAGGCCCTCCCTCAGAACTTGCTACTGTCAAAAGGGTTACTATGTTGCAGCCAGGAGAACTGAGCTCTGAAAGGACCAAGAAGTGGAAGGTAAAACAGCTGGAGCCTCTCTTGAACTCAAAGCAACCTCTAGGTGATGACCTGGTGACCTCTGGGCAAAATGCAACCTTGACCCTGGGATATGGGTCAGAGTAGGGGAGCTGTGCCCAGGGAAAGGGTACCGATGCAAAAGGATACACGGGCCATCAAGGTGCAGAGACAGTCTGATGCATTCATTTTTTAGCCCCCTTGCCTGGATCAGCGGCAACTGCATTAAATTGTAACCAAGCAACGCATGATAAGTCCCAAAGCACTACCTCTTGATAGGATAAAAGCATCCAAGAATCTTCTATTGACACCTTAATGTATGTTAATAGGAGATCTCCAACAAGTTTGCAAAATCTGGGATTGTCCTAGAAAGAAAATAAATCATGCAACCCTGTGCTAATGTCAACTAATCCTTGTCCTAACTGTCAGGACAAATCTCCCCCTGGGATGACGTCAGCACAGGTGGATTATTCACACCTCGCAGACTACAGCCTCCTTATCCCTTAACTTTCAACCTGACTTAGGAGTCAGGCTAGGCGAAGGTTAAGGTGGCTTCAACAAAAGATAAGAAAATCAGGTTTCAGCCTGAGCTCATTAATTGCTGATACATTAGCAGAAAACACCAAAAGCCCTACATTTACACAAACCTGACTAGAATACACAGCTTTTTATTACATTAAACGCTTAAATGAAGCCAAGACAAAACTGAGTTCTTGTTAGATTGTTTTTACTTATTCCATTATGTAAATAATTGCTTTTAAAATTGTCTTTTCAGAGAAAGTTTCTGTATAGGGAGGACTAGTTTGCTAAATAATGAAAAATTCTTCCTTACTTCACTGTTAAGTCAATAATCTGTGGGCTGCTCTTATAAGAATAAGGCAGCTGTTGTGTGCTTATTACACGCAGACTTACATTGCTCTCTTCCCTTCTCCTGTCAAACTATTAGAGACGTATTCTGCTCCAAGTAGGAGTTGCCAGTTAAAGACTACAATGCCTATTTCCCTGGAATTAAACCCCACAGAGAGTTGGCTATTAGGGTGGTATAATGCTGTGCCTAGAGGAGGTTACTGCCCAGAGTGCTGGGCTTGGAAAAGGGCACCAAGTTGAAATTGCTATTCAGCAAAGGAAGGAACATTCTGCAGTAAGTCAAAGTCTCTGTGCTGAACCCTATTTTTGGTTTGCAACTTCCTTCCCTCCAGCAGAGAGGTACCTTTCCAAGCAGCCTGAAATGTACCAGTAATGCTGTGAAGCTAAAATTATGCTCTGGAGAAGGATGTGATACAGACGCATCCTTCTCCACTTTCTAATAGAGCTACTATGCCTTAACAGTTGTATAACCAGCAATTCTTCAGCAACTGAATCTTCTCCAAGCACAGAAGTGCTTAGATGGGGAAGAAATCACTGGCTGAAGATCTGGCTTGTACAATAAAGTCCCAGATTACATTAGTAGTTGCAAAAATCAGCTAAGCTAATGATCTCTTTAAAATATAATCACATTTCTAGCCCTTATGGTTGTGAAGTATGCTGTGAAGTATATGGGCAAGTGCCAGAGAAACCTCTGAAGGCAGAGTTGTTGAATAAAGGCCAAACAATACACGGTGATCAGCCCCAAGATTCTTTCTACACATGCACCACACACACAGGACAAGCACACCAAGTACACCAGGGTGGGGTGGGGTGGGGTGGGGAGGGAAAGAGGGGCTGCTTAACCTTTTCTTGATGTGCATTTTTTCTACTCAACATTTGCCACCAGCTACTTTCCCACCATGAGGTGTGAGACATGGTGACCCCCATTACTTTTCTCCACCCAGGGTGTAAAGCAGGAGGGGGGCAGGAAGCAATCAGCAAGTAATCACAAGGGTGCTAAGCTCCTGATTTCTGCCTCCTCTGGCAGCTTTTCACTGAAGCCAAACTAAGGCACAAGCACTGTGTAGTTTAGCTCTTTCTTTTCAGTGGTCAAAGGGTGGGGCTCTTCCCCATGACTAGGAGAAAAAGAAATTGCTGATAATCATTTCAAAAGACACAATGATATTCATGAGGTACCACAGGGCTCAGTGCTGGGACCAGTATGCTTCAACATTTTTATTAATGATCTTGATGAGGAAATCCAGGGAACGATGATTAAATTTGTGGATGATACTAACCTGGGTGTAATAGCTAACACTCTGGAAGACAAAAAGAAGCTCCAGGGAGACCCAGACAAGCTTGAATGCTGGGCAGAAAACAACAGAATGAAATTCAACAGGGGCAAATGCCAAGTTCTCCACCTAGCCAAAACAAAAATCAGCTGCATCACTACAGGAATACTTGACTCAACAGACTCAACTCAAATACTTGACTGGGAATACTTGACTCAACAGTACTGAGAGTGAAAGGGTTCTTGGAGTTGTTGCAGACAAGCTAAACATAAGCCAGCAGTGTGATGCAGCTGCAAAAAGCAAACACAATTTTGGGATGCCTAAACAGAGGCATCACTTCCAGACATAGGGAAGTACTTATTCCCCTCTACTCTGCATTAGTCAGACCTCATCTGGAATACAGCACTCAGTTTTGGGCACCCAGGTTTAAAAAGGACACTGATAATTTGCAGAGGGTTCAGAGGAAGGAAACAAAGATGATACAGAGCCTGGAAAACAAGTCTTACAATGAGGCTGAAAGAACTGGGCCTGTTCAGCCATGAGAAAAGACGACTACGAGGTGCCATGACAGCACTCTGCAGGTACCTCACAGGCTGTCACAAAGAAGGAATAGTCCTCTTCTCCTAGACTGTAGGACACAGAACAATGAACTTCAACTATGATACATCAGGTGCAGGCTAGAAACAAGGAAGAATTTCCTAACTGTAAGAGTGATATGACAGTGGAACCAGTTGCCAAAAGAGGTTGTGTGTTCTTCCACACTCAGGAAGAAAACAGAAAGTTATCTGAGTGGGATGGTGTGACCGCCTCCAGAATCAGCAGGGGATTGGCCTTCTTGGTCCCTTCAGAACCTGCTCTTCTATGATTCTATGATTCAGCTTTTTGAGCTGTAGAATGCAAGTTAATGTACTGTAGCATAGGCTTTTGAAACGGATGCTTTTAGGACAAAGCACACATAGCCCAACTTTCACCAGTGAACTAATTAAATGGAAAGCTACTTTGAAGCAGTTTTTAAGGCAGGCTTCAGAAATTTCCTGAGCTTCTAAAAGGAGGTTATAAAAGCAAGCATCAACCTGGCTTCCTCCACTCCTGATAAGAACTTCCTATGAAAGTCTCTGCTACTTGGGCAGTAGAATTAGCTCCACTATTGAGCCTGACCCAGAAGAAATAATGCAGCAAATAAAGTAACTTTCTGTGCACCTAAAAGGGAAGACATAAGCGATATTTACAACCTAATCCCATCCCTCTTTGCCTGGAAGTAAAAGCATGCTTTTGATTATTGCCTTAGCGCTGTCAAGCCCTTGAAATAAATATTTTAGTAGCTGAACAGGACCTAGGGGAGAAGCATACAGCAGATCCATAGGTGAGGCCTGAGGAAAGAACCTACCTCCTTATTCATTTGTTTAAAAGCCTCTTGTAAGCAGCATGCTCTCCTCCTTTTAGAAGAATTATGCATTTGTCCATGTGTATCTAAGATATTGGTCCCATGGTTTTCGGCAGGTTCGGTAGCAGAGGCCAATGCAAAAGTTGCTTATTCTTCTGAGAAGTATCACCAACAAACAGCTGAGAAAAAAACATGTCTGAAGCAGAAAATCTGGCCTTGCTTTTCTGAAAACTGGCCCAGCAGAATTTTTATAAATGGCTAGAGATGTGAGAGAATTAATGTGCTTGACTCGTAGTTCTTTCCTCTTTCATTTTGACACTTCCAGAATTCCTGCCTTCACAGCAAATAACAGATTTGCCTCTCTGCAAGCATTTCCTGTCACAAAATGTCTGTTGAAGTCACTACCAAATTCATTTATGCTGAACAGTGCTGGAAAAGCACTCTGTGAGGGGTCAATTCCCTCTCTCAAGCCTTGCAAAACATAAATGCACTCTAATCTGACCCATATCTAATTATTTTAGAACACAATAGGGTTACGTTAACTTCTATCATTAGTTCTCTTGATCAAGCTTTTTCTAGCTTTAATCTTACCTTCACAGTCTTTCTTTCCAAATTGTAAGCCGCCCTGAGGCTTCGGCGAATGGGGCAGCCTAGAAATTCTCTAAATAAATAAATAAAATTACAAATTCTTTTCTATACCCTAAAGCATGGGTCCTCAAACTATGGCCTGCGGGACAGATCCGGCCCGCCATGGACATCCATCCGGCCCACACCGCCATTTGCCGCCCACGGGCGTGCTTGCTGTGCAGGCAGGGGGGTGGTGGCTTGCTTGCTCGCTCAGAGATGGTCTCCAAGCGAGCAAGCCGCCACCGGCCTCCCGTACGCGGGCACTCGCTGCTGCTTCACAGTGCAGGTGGTGAGGTGGTGGCTCACTCGCTCCGAGATGGTTTTGGACTCGCTGGGAGATCTCCGAGCGCACGAGCCACCGCCGTGCGCACTGGATGCCGCCTTGTGTGCGCCTGATGCTGCCTCACGCACCCCCACGGCACCTCACCGGCTCAGCCCCCAGGCACCCGCACCTCACCGGCCCACGACGGTCACCGCAGCCTTTAAACTGGCCCCCTATTCAAAAAGTTTGAGGACCCCTGCCGTAAAGCTACTAATACAATATTTGGTCAGTATGAGTGCCTCTTTTCTGTTCAACTGTATTAGTCCCTCTACTAACCCCTTCTTGTAAGAAACTGAATTCCTATACATCCCTA